TCTAAGCTACTGTAAACCCTTTCGTTCTCAGTAATCTTATGTACATATATTGAAACACATATGAAGACCAGCTCATAAACAATCACTTCTACATTTTTAACACGAATGTCAATTTACTTGATAATTAGACAGAAATAAGTAGGAAAGAAAGAATCCTCTGAAAAATGGCCCGAACGAAATGTTCTGTGCGCGTAGAAGTCTGGTGTAATGATTTATAGCGATTGCAACAGCCTGTCTCGTGTGTCTATTAATTAAAACAGAGGGTCGTAAAACCCGTCTTTATTCGCTTGGACACGAGGTCAAGTGAGGGCTTTTGCTCCGTATCCTAAGCTGTCCAAGGTCAAATGTGAAATTTTTCAATTCATCGTTAAATCTGTGTGAACGGTCTAATTTTAGTAAACGTGTGTTTTAAACAAACTTTTCTATCGTATATTTTCTTATTTTGTTTCTTTCCCATTTTTTAGGAATTTGCCTAGAGCCATTTCAATCTCGTGTGTCCTCGTTACCATTGTCTACGTTTTCACAAACATGGCGTTTTACACAACGCTGAGCCCTGTTGAGGTTCTTGGAAGCCAGGCTGTTGCAGTGGTAAGTTTACAAATTGACACTATTAAACCTCTGGCAATTAAAATTCTTTTAAAGTATTTTTTTTTTTGTAATTTTTATGTTTGGAAATTCTTGGGTTTCATTTGTCGCAAATATTTCGGCCATTTTGTAACTTAGCTGTTGCGAATCGCAGAATTTCCAAAATTTTATATTATTAAGTTCTGGGAATTAAAATTCATAAATATTTTATTTATTGGGAGTATTTTTGTTTTAATTTATGTCTGGAAGTTCTTGGGTTTCATTATTGCAAATATTTCTGCCATTTTGTAACTTAGCTATTGCGACAAAATCGCAGAATTCGTTAAACTGTATACAAGTGAAATTATTCGAATATTCAAGGCAGAAAGATATTACAAAATTTTCCAAATTCTGTTTATCAGAGTAAAAGCTCATACTATAGTTCCAGAAAAATGACGAAAATGCTTTCTTCTGAAGATAGCTTGATGAAATGGGTTCTCCTTTTCAGACCTACGCAAATCGTTTATTCGGCATGTTCGCATGGGTGATCCCAGTGTTCGTGGCCCTTTCTACGTTCGGCGCCGTAAATGGAATTCTCCTTACATCATCAAGATTGTTCTACGCTGGCGCCTGCGAGGGTCAGATGCCTGAAATATTGACAATGATCCAAATTTCCAGGCTCACCCCAACTCCAGCTGTTCTTTGCATGGTACATCAGTGTTTTCAATATTTCTGAAGATTAAAGAAAAAAGAAGAAACACCTGAATAGTCTAATAATAAGTAAACATGTAACAATCCTCCTTTTCCTATGATTTTGCCTTGTACAATTGATTACTTAATCCGAGAGGACTATTTTGGTTCCTTTTTTAAATTCAGTTAGAGATAGTAGTTTTGTAAATTCTTTGAAAGAACATTTTGTTGTATCTACTGAATGTTTGTGCAATCTTCTGGTTAAATTGTGTTCACTTGTTGAGAGAAATCAGGTTTTCTGAAAGAATCAGATTGTGGAGATTGAGAGAGGTGACAATTGTGTGGAGGTTGATTGGAATCTTTGATCAACTACGTTGGCTTTGCCACTTGGGTACGTTGTATTTTCTTGAAGACATTTGAGGGACGTGAAAAGGAAAATGTTCTGAAAGGAATAAGAACTTAGTTATATTGTACAATCTTACTGTTGCTATACTTAACCTTTTGATATTTAAAAAGTTATTTAGAAGCTTAAAATTTTGAGAATTTATTCGGAAATTATTTTCTTAAAATTTCAGAGATTCTGTAATAACTCTGTAAAATATGTCCACATTCTCACATCCACTTTTCCCAGAAGCTAAGTTTGTATTAATACAGAGAAGAGAAACGGTGTACTATATTAAATGGAGATCGTTAAAATCCTTCCAAGAAGTTAATAACGTCTCCTTGACATGAAACATTGTTATTCGTTCACCAATTAGAATAATAATAGCAAGAGCAGTTTGCACAGGTTCACCACAATGCAGATGAATAATTGTCCCTCATTATGTTCCAAGAAAACGCATTGAACATTATTACACGCATACATGGGCCACATATAAAGTGCTGTAGTGGTACCTGGTTCGCCATGAATTATTAGCCCAACCGGACGAGTGATAATTTTCTAATTGGCTCATGCTGCTCGGTGTAATTGACAGTATTGCCCGACTTTGTAGTGCAGTATAAACGTGTCCACCTTGTCGCGGTCGCTTGACAATAGTTTCCAGCTATAAACATGTAGATTCCGTTCATCCGCTCTGTTCCATTGAACTGTTCAAGTAACTCAAGTGAGATGCAGTCATTTCTTACATTTTTCCTTCATTTCATAATAATGTCGAAAGGAAATTTTGAGAAAAGTGGATAAAAAAATGTGGTAGATTAAAAAAAGAGTGTCAAAGAAGCTGAAGAATAGTGGACAAAATAGATATGGAATAAAAAGGATTTGAAAAGTTCTAATTTGAAACTTTTCCAGGTGAACGAAGTTTCAAAAAGTGAATTAAATTGATACAAAAGTAAAGAATTTTTGTGATTTTTATTTGCAGCTGAGCATAGGTGTCTCAGTGGTCTGTCTGCCATGGCTCAGATGGACGCAACCAAACCGGCCCAGGCCCATCAAAGTGAACCTCTTCTTCCCCTTCATCTACACCCTCGCCACCCTCTTCGTTACAATTGTGCCCATGTATGCCAGTCCTGTGGAAACAGGTAAAGAAATCTACCCAACAATTTTTACCATTCATTGGTAACCTTTTTTCTCAAATGTCTTTTTACATTAAATTTACTCATTGAAACTAATTTCTTTTTCTCTTTCTATTTAGGATACGGTTGCCTGATGATCTTCACATCCGTACCTGTGTATTTTGTGTTTGTCGCATGGAAAAACAAGCCGCTGTTCTTCCAAAAAGGAGTCGGTAAGTATAGAAATCAAAAACAAAACAAAAAAATAAATCCATCAAACAGAACAAAATTGTCGAATACACGGTTCAAAGGGTTCACTTGAATTTTTATTATTCTCATTAAGTTATGTTTGTTCTGTTGACTTTATTTAATTGAATTATATTCGAATACACGGTTTTTTGTTCCGTTTCTGTTTAACCGCAATCTGTTCCCGCAGGCGCCGTTACCAAAACATTGCAGAAGATGATGGTAGTCGTCGGACCAAAGACTAAGGTTCAAAGAAAAAACTGATACACTATGACATAACTATACTCTATCCATGTCATGCATGCTTAGCATCTGTTTATTTCTGTCATCATTAAAACATCTTAGCTTGTTGCTTTCCAATTCTCATGCACGTCGATCACTTCTAACCATACTTTCTGGAGCACTGTATATATAATTTTTGAGTATTTGTTCTGTCATCTTGCATGGTGTTCATTATTTCCGTTTAAAGAAGACATACTTGAATTCATTTTCGAAACGGTGGGCTCGTCGATTTAATTTACTGTTAAATTTTCCATAAAAAAAATAATAACATTGTTTTTACATTCACGATTAAAATTATTCAGTTTCCAGTTGGCGTATCGAAAAATTTTGACAAACAAGAGCATAATGCACATCGTTCTTAGCTTTTAAGTTCGCTCAAACATCGTTCAAGTTTGAGTTTGCATGCTGCACTTACATAATCAGCACCACGCACAGTAACTCGTACAGTGCTCTTAATACGGTGCACCCGTAAAAAATTGTGACTAACATATTGACCAGTCTAAAATTAATTTTTCAACGAAGTTCTACCGCTCACTTTGCTAACTTTAATTCCTCGATGATGGTGTCGTCAGAGAATGATATATACATCCTTCTACACAAGCCTCAACATATACTTACATTTTATTTCTTCTCTGTCAAGAAAGAGCGTCTATTATTTTTCAATCTGACGATTCCACGTCGAATTCAAGAATTCTACTAACCATCTTTTCCTCTAGAAACACTTCGTTGAATACACATTAAAAAACTGAATCTTTGGAATTATTATTTACAGTAAGCGTCACGAAGTTCCTGCAGAAAATATTGCTGGTCGTCAGCAAGTCGAAACCCGCTCAGGTTTAACCGCAGTCAGAATGGATCCTCAGCCTCCACAGGGATGAAATCCGGTTCCAAGAGAACCAGATACTCTTGAACACCGTACAACACGCTTAGAGAACGCAGTCTCGAAGTAGACTTACACTATTGCATAAAATAGCAATTTACTAAATTATTCAGATCAGAAAAAACACCATTATTCTGTGAATATATCAGACAAAAGGCGTCCTGACAAGAGGCAGCCATATCGAATCAGCACGCCTAACCACCAGACAACCAGAAATACACGTTCTCTTGTCCGGACACATCATCCTTGACAAACTGGCATCAAGATTTCCGCGGTAATTTATCATCGACGCGATTCTAGCGGAGGTGTAACGTCATCAATAAACAACGACCACGACGAAATACTGTATTTTATAACACGTACAGGTACAAACGAGTAACTGTCGAAAGAAAAAAAAAGAAGGGATGATATTCCCCTCCGCTGGGACACGCAGTTCTCTCTCACGACTTGACAGACAATTTATTGTTATTGTATCCGTTTCATTGCACATTGTATCATCTTCATTCTTGTGATTCAACCCTTCGTTTCGAACCCACGGGTTCTGCTATTGAATTTCAGGTAGATATATAGTTCATAGTCTCTGCTCATAGAATCTTTTAGACAATGGTTAATTTATTACTTCTTCTTGCCATTCCAAAAATTGTGGAACTAGTTTAATACACTTCATAATAAGAATTATAGGATCATAAAGGGTTAAGTACATGGTTCCACTTTTATTCCAATTACAATCATAAAAGGTTATCTCAGTACATCTAAAAAAAAAAAAGGAAAAAAAAATGTATGGAGAAACGAAGGGTGAGAACATAGTAAACGCGCTGGCACACGACCGTATAATACAATACCGCGTTCTACTGCCACTGTTGTTGGCGCGTGCACCATGAGCACCCACTATAAAATTGCGTGAAGCTTCAAAGTCGCAATCGATCGATCCACGAGAACGAGAAGTTCAAAAGGACAGCCACTCGAGTGACTCTGGTTATTCGAGTATACTTTCCTTTTCTTTTCACTTCCTTTTTAGATTCGAGCGCGTGTTTAAATCGGAAATTTAGTTACGTGTCTGTTAAAAACAGAGTAAGCTTACGAGCGTATACAGAGTTTAAGGTTTTTTTATATTTTTTTAAGCGAGTAATTCTGTAAATTTAGAATCCTTAGGACGATTTTAGTTCTAATCGTTTCCCCTAGCATCTGTTCTTTTCTTCATCATTCCTTCTATTTTTCTTTTTTCTTCTTCTTTTTTTATTGATAAATGTGTGCATGGTGAATGTGTAAGAGAGAGATGTATTTGTAAAGGATCGTGTAAGATTGCTTGGATATGGTGTATGAGTTGTAATCTTCAACTGGTAGGATAGGCTCAGAATAAAGTTTTTAAATTTTTACATGTAATTAGGTGTAGAACTCTCTGTGTATTTTATTGTGTTAGATATGTGATGTTAAGTGTGTACAGAATCAATTAGCTATGCAAAATGTCACTTCCCTCATCTGTGAAACGTGTACCACAAGTGAAACCTTGATGGTTGTACTTGATGGAAGAAATATAGTGAATCCAGTGTGTGGAGTATTTGGAATAATTAAGAATAAAACGGCTGCTATAAAAGTATTAGAGAATTATTCAACTTGCTTCGCTGAAAACTATAATCCAGTAATTAAAGTAACAAAGTACTGGGTTCCATTATATTTCTTCCGTGAAAATTATAACTATCTGAAGCTTTGTACATTCTAACCTCAATTTATATCGAAACCTTGAATGAATCACAGAAAAATTGATTTGTAAAAAAAAAAAAAACAAAGAAACAGTGAATTGAGTTAATTAAATCGAAGGAGACCTCAGCGTATACCAGTTGAGGATTCAGGATTCTGCTTTACGATTGTCATTTGTAAACCAAGAGTGTTGCAGAATCCAAGTGACGTGCATTTATTTTTTTGTTTGTGTTTTTTTTTTCTTTAATTCAACGTCAGAGAAAAAAAAGGAGAAAAAGAAGAATATTAAGAAGCTCGTAAAATTGTCCGGTCCAATTAACGTGTCCACTTTAAGTGAACTATTGTGTCTTTTACGAACTTTTTAAGACTTAACGTTTTAACACGCTCTCCATGGACGCCACGTTTCACGTATTGTGTTTATTTATCGTAAACACGCGTTGTAATTTTCACGCGTATCGATTTATTGAAAACAACTGCCGACACACGGACTTTTCAAATTAAATTTAAGAAAAAATATTGTTCTTACACAGGGGTAATATAAAAGAAATTATTATAGGGTCCAGGATTAATTGACAAACTGTAACTTGAAATTTTTTGATAAAAGTGCGACGATGTTGCAATACATTTTAATATCTTGACATATCTGAGAAAATATCAATCTTTTGGACGTAAATTGTTTTTATATGCTGTCTTACTTGGAATAATTGCAGTGTTGTTGTATTTGTCTCAAAATTTTTTATTTGGTTATTTTTTCGGGAATTATCGTGATAAAAGATTAAGATTACTTGAAATATTTGGAGTCTAATCGTGTACGTTTACGAAATTTTTAATAACATTCGAATTCCTATAGTTTTTAAAAACAAATTGTGCTAAAATTTTTGACTTGAACGAAAGTTTTCTCGATACGTATGGAGGTAATGCAAAAAAAATTCTAACATAACGAAATCATTTTAGGACGAAGTATTTTGTACAGAGTCAGTTCTTACGTACAGTTGAAGAAACGTCCTGTTGCGTCCACGCGTAGAGTCCTAAAATAATTTAGTTAATTTGGTCAAATTATAATAGCTTCGATGATTCGTCTATTATTATTTAAATCTTTCCTAAAAACTCAGTTTTTTGATAGTTACTGCAATTTTCTGCTCACCCTGTGTACTTTAATATTACTCATAATTATCAATTTAAAAAAAATAACCTAAAATTAAATGTTCAACGAGTCGTTGGATGCTCAATTTTTATTATAATATAGAATCGTCCAAATTTACATGGATAAATTAATTACGACTGATTCGGACAATAAATTTTTCCTAATTTTGACACAATTTCGTTGTCAAATGTATGAAAACGAATTGTCGAAGCTTTCAATTGCGATTGGTCTAGTTTTCAATGATTTAGCTATAATTTTTATGGGACACTTTTCGACGATCATCGTGAAGTCCCATGAGAAACCACTGACCAGAGTGTCTATCGATGCGTAGCCTAATCGATCCTTGGTAGCTCAGTATTTCGCTGAGATCAGAGTATTAGAAGAGTTTAGTTATAAAAGCGCCAGGTAAATCTCTTGAAAAAAGTCGATTAAATTTTTAACTATTATTAAGGATATCGGAACAAATTATTGTGTATTGTTGCGTAAATTAATTTAACTCCAAGAAGCCTATAATGCATTTGTAAACGATGAAGGAGAAAGCCAGCGCTATGGACTGACAGTAGTGGTAGTGATTTTTTAAGCAAATTAATCATAGACAAGAAGGAATCGTGTATTTTTACAATGACAGTGTCGATAGGCACTCTGACGCACGTGACAATAAGCACCTATTAATTAATTAGTCAAGAATAATTAAGATAAACGAGGGAAGAGTGTAGAGTCGAGAAATGTTTGGCAGAATTCCATTTTTGTATTACTTTTTTTTTTTTTAAGTTGCGAAAGACCAGCGTGTACTTGAAATGGCTTGCGAAGAAGAATAAGAGAATGAATCTTATCCAGGTGAACTGTGGTTGCATTGTTTTCAATTGAAATTTTACAAATTGAGGTTAAACATGTACGTATCGAAACGAAGAAAAAATTGCATTATTTTTATGTCGTATAATGTAGAATTTCTTTGTACCAGTTAAAAGAATTTGTCAAGAAGAAAATTAGAAAAGTGATAAAATGAGGTTAAAGTGCATTTTAGAGGTTATAAAATAAAAATACTGCAACCACGTTTACGAGTGAGAAGAAGAAATGTCGAAATTCTTGTTGAAACGTGTGAAGTCGATAATTAAGGAAAAAATGACGTGAAAACAAGCAGTAGCTTAGGATCTAGACGAGGAAAAAAAAAAGGAATGGGAGGGTTTAATGGGACGAGCAAACTGTGACAATATATTATATTGTATAATACGTGTGTTACTTCCGCCAATACCCCTTTATCCTGTAACATAACCTTTCGTCGAATGAAATAATATCAGCTTTTGAAGAGAAGACAAGAACGAAATATCGATTGCATCGAATTGTTTAAAAAAAAAAAAAATTGGTGAATGTAAATATAATATAACGTCATTGAAGAAATTGCGAATGTGTTTTTGAAGAATTATTTAGAAGAAAAAAAAGATACAAGTATTCATATCGTTCGATGGAAAATTTCAAAATATATTTTCAGCTGAAAATGCGACTTAATATTAAATTTTTTGAATAGGCTGTGCCAAAGAGCATTAAATAAGGAAAGGAAAAATGATTCTTGATTATGTGCGCGTCTATATTTATATGTATAAACATATAAGTTATAAATACATAATGCTCACATATTTATAACTTATATTCAATATATATAATTTTGTCCACAGCAGTTGTACATACAGAGATTACAAAAGAAAAGATATTTCATTTGGCTTCATCGGCGCTTCAGGAACAAAAATTTACTTCTCGTTCCGCATGGTTCTCGAATTTTTATGCGAGACCTCGAAAAGAGAGGAGAAAGGTATTTGAAAGATAAAATGAGCTCGAAATTAATTTTCCAGGACGACCTCGGTTAATAGTTTTAATCTAATTTACTAACGAAAAAAGAATCGTGGCTGTTTTTTTTTATAACAATAAAAAATCAAAATTTGATATAAAAAAAATAAGGTATTTGTAATCAGTTCATGCTTATATTAAAAAAGTAGTGCCACTGTTTAAGTAGTGCCGTTTAATGTTTTATTTGTTAAAAATGCCATTTAACATCGAATTTGGTTTTCGAGAACTTAACTTTAAAGCAACAAAAACCACGATCTCTCTTTCCACAATAATTTAGGAATATACAATAAAACGAGGAAAAAATGTTCGAATGGTGTACACAATTCGTTGACGACGATTTAGGCTGAAAAATTCGCAAAGGAAAACCGAGAGTATCGTCGCTAGGGCGCAGACTAAAAGCGCGGGAAATTAAATCGACGATTATCGCGCAACCTATGCTAAGTTGCTTTTTTTTTTTTAAACTGGCCTCGATCCAACGAGGATTTTCTCAATCTTGGGTGCAAATAGTATTTGCAATAAAGCTAGAATCCAGTCAAATGCATTAAATCATCACTTATATCAAATTGTATGGCTTCACTGATAAATCTTCTTCGTATACAACATTTAAAAAAGTCACTAAAACATAAAAACAATAATTCACAATGATCATTAGTAAAAGAAAAAAAAAAAAGGATTCAAAATTTGATCGTTTATTTTCTAAAAAAGAGATAGTATTAAAAAAGAAAAGAAGGTTGATTTATTTCAAATACTATTTTACCCCCACTCTATCTGCCATTTCCCATGAGGCGCTGTTCCTTCCATGGCG